AAACAAATACGATACGAGATGCACGCGCGTGCGTCGTCGCGCGCGCATGCAGAAATCCTTCAAACATCTTCGGTTGTGCCAGGGTCTCAACATCGAGTGTCCAAGACACATGTAAAACAACTATTGTTATGTTATCCCTTTTGTTGTTCAAAAAAACCTGTGCGCGTGCTCTTGCGAATTCTTAGGGAAACCCTCGGTTCCCAACGTTTGCGCAACGTGCAACCAAAGGGGCTTCGCGCGCGCATGCCGAAAAAGTTCGAGCACACTTGCGCACGTGCTGTCGCGAGAATCCTTTGCGAAATATGAGACGAAGTGCACGCGCGCGCGTCGTCGCGCGCGTGCCAAAATCCTCCGATAACTTTCGGCTTCGCCAGGATATCAAAGCCGAGTGCTCAACAAACATACAAAAACACACGTTCTCGCAACGCCAGTTTTCAAAACGAACGGCGCTCGCGCTCTTGCGAAATCGCAAGGAAACCACGCGTCGCTTAACGTGGTCGTTGAATTCTGCCAAGTGGGCCACCCGCGCCGCATGTCGAACTTCTTCGGACGCCTTTGCGCGCGTGCTGGGGGGGGGGGGAGGGAGGGGGGCGATCCGCGTCGAATAATGCCGCGCGGTCCATCCTCGCGCGTCGGCCGCGCGCGCGTCGAACTCTTTCGAGAACGTTCGTCGCCGACGCGAGGGCGCCGTCGTCGTCGTCGTCGGCGTGGTCAGCGTCGGCGCCGTCACTGGCCCTGCCGTCGCCGCTGGCACCATCGTCACCAACGCCGTTGCGATCATCGTCGCGTCTACCGTTGTCGACGTTGCCATGATGCCGCGCCCGCCCAAGTCGCCGACGCGCATTGCAGTGTTCTCAGAGATGCGCCCAGCAGTTAGCGCCGCCGCCGCCGCGTCGGTCGCGCCGAACTAGCTGGCCGCTGCGTGCGCGAGCATGCGCGGACGAGCGCTGCCGCAGAGATGCACCAGCCAACGCCAACCATGCATCGCAATCGCCACCGCGTGGGTTTTGCAATCCGAGTTGCGGGTGGGTGGGTGGGATGATTGCGCGAGCAGTGGAGTTGACTACTTCCTGTTCGGCAAGGTGAATTGCTCCGCATAGACAGCTTCACGCATATGGTATATCGCACGTTGAGCACCACACCAGGTCTTTATCTACAAGATTATTAGGATCAGCCCCCCCCCCCGGACTGAACGAGTCATGTTTGCGTGGTGCAAGTTGTTTGCGATTTTGCACCATTGTCCATTCTGGGTATGAGCTCAGATCATCCCAGCCAAACCGGCAACGGCCACCCCACTCGTTCTCTGCCAAAGATGCAATGCGAGCGCACTCGTTTATCAACGCTCTGTAGTTTCCAAACATCTCTTGCAACAGATGGGACGAAGTGCACGCGCGCGTCTTCGCGCGCATGCTAAAATCCTTAAACTGCCTGGCGTTTCGTGACGATTTCGAAACCGAGTGTCCCGACAGCAGATTAAGCACACATGGTTTCGGAACAATTACTATCGAACAAAAGCTTGCGCTCGGGGTCTTGCGAGGTTCGAAGAAATCCCGCGGGTTCCAACATGTTCGCAACATGTTACCAAACGGGCCTCTCGAGCGCGCATTCCAGAATCGTTCGGACCCTGGCGCGCGTTCAGTCGCGAGAATCCCTTGCGAAACGTGGGCAGAAGTGCGCGCGCGTCGTCGCGCGCGCATGCCGAAGTCCTTCAACAACCTTTTGTTTCGTATGGGTTTCAAAGTCGAGTGCCCCGAATACAAATACAAGCGCATGGTTTCGCACTATCAGTTTCCAAAACAGCCCGCGCCTGTGCTCTTGTGAATTCTGAGGAATACCACAGGGGTTTCAATGTGTTCATTGCATTCTGCCAAACGTGCCTCTCGCGCCGCATGTCGGAATCATTAGAACGCCCTTGCGAGCGCGATGGGGGACAATATCCGTGTCAAGTAATACCATGCGGGCCACTCTCGCGCGTCGGCCGCGCGCGCATGTCGCACTTCTTCCAAAACCTCCATCTCCGACGCGAGGACGCCGTCATCGTCGTCGGCATGATCAGCATCGACGCCGTGGCTGGCCCCGCCGTCGCTGGCCCTGCCGTCGTCGATGTCATCGTCGTCACCAACATCGTTACTACCATCATCGTGTCCACCGTTGTCGACGTTGCCATGATACCGCGCCCGCCCAAGTCGCCGACGCGCATTGAAATGCCCGCAGAGATGTGCCCAGCAATCGGCGCCACCACGGCCACGTCGGTCGCGTTAAAGTAGCTGGCCGCTGCGCGCGCGAGCATGCGAGGGCTAGCGCGGCCGCAGAGATGCACCAGCCAACGCCAAGCAAACATCGCAATCGCCGCCGCATGGATGTTGCAATCCAAGTTGCGGGTGGGTGGGTGGGATGATTGCGCGAGCAGTGGAGTCGGCAAGCCACGGCGAACATTGGGCGAATGGCACAACATAGAATGCAACGTAAGAGGTTGCACCACATATATTGCACCACAAAGATTGCACAGTATCGGGTGCACATAGATAGGTCGACATAGATTGTACCACGTAGAGTGCTCCCCGTTGATAGCTCAACGTAGATTGTGCCACATAGATAGCACCACGCAGAGTGCACCACATAGCTTGCACAGCACAGATTGCACAACATGGTTGCTACAAACACGCTGTTTCGGATCCGCGATAGCTTACATTTTCATGCAGGGGTTTCGATACTTTCGCCTTTCAGGGCCTCGCTGTAGGCATCGCCGGGCGTCTCTCGGTAGTTTTTCGGGGTATCTTCGGGCCTGTTCGGGGGGATCTTTGAGCATTGGGGGGTTCGTAGTAGGGCCGTCGTTGGATAAGGTTGGAGCTCCCTGCAGCAATTCTGGGACGGCCTCAGGCCGTTCTGGGGAGTTTCAGAAGACGAAGGGGGCGCCAGGGAACAACACTTGAGGCGCTCCAAGAATCCGGCGTACCGGACAATACAAACAACACACATGCTTTACCATTCCGCTACCGCGCAAGCGTCGTGACGGATCTTTTTGCACGGCTTCTTCGGGAGCGGCTGTGTATCCTCTTCGGCGCCCCATATTTGGAACCTCTGGCTTTGCGTCATGCTCCCCATCCTTCGGTTCGTCCTCCTTTTTCTCCCTGTCGCCTCCCGCAATGCTGCGCGTGCCTGTAGTGCATGCGAGGCTGCGGGTTCACTCCCGCCGCTCGGCCTGCATCGAGAGGCTGTCGACTGGTGGACCTCTCCCGTCCCTCCAATGTGATTGGACCCTGGCCGCACGAAGCACGGTGCGGGCATTCGTTTCAGTATCGAGGGAAGGGGGGGATCACAGACAAGGGGGAAGGTGGGAGGGATCTTAAAAAGTTCTCTGCCGAGCAGGGCGGATATAAGTACAGTAGAGGGAAGCAATTACTCAAAGTTGGCACGCGCAGGGAAGACTGCGGTCGAGGCGCAATTCATCAGGCCCACAGCCAATTTTGAACATTGGGGGGAGGGGTAGGCGTTGGCACATGAATGTGGCATGAGTGTTCGCTATTTTTTCCGAGGACTGTACTGATACAACGTTGTGTTGTTGTTGCTGCTGCTGCTGCTGATGTTGTTCTTGTTCATGAAAAAGTATAATTTTATTCACCTTTGTGGCTCCACGGGGAACCCCAGACGGCGCTGCGGTTCTCGACGGTTCCCACCTGCCGAGCCGATCCGATCCGATCCATGTCGGTGGCGCTCCACCGCTTCCTCCTGCTTTCATTCGTGGGCTTGTGGAGGACGATCAATTGAGAGGAAGCATGTTGCCAAATAATTCCCAGACGTCTAAAACAAGCGTTCAACATGTTTTTAAACATGTGCTCCAACATGTTGCACATATTTTTCGAACATTATTCAAACATGTTCAAACACATGCTTGATTCAACGATAGGCCTGTTAGGGTGTCGAGTGTCATGGCATCCACCATCGTGGGCGAAAAACGGATCCGTATCCATGGCCTCGCGTGCCAGGCCCTTGGGCCGCGATCCCGCGGATACATTTTGTTTCTTTTGCAGATGCCCCAGGCAGAACTTGTCCGTGCGTTCGGATGCAACTCCTGGGAGGTCAAATTCTGATTTAGCCCTGGTCCGAAATCCCGCTTAATCGGGCTTACTCCCGCTTAATCTTAATCTGGCTTAATCCCGCTTATTCCCGCTTGATCTGGCTTAATCCCGCTTGATCCGAGTCCCACTCTGGCTTAACAGTCCCCCAATGGGGCTTAATCCCCCTTAGTCCTTCCGACGAAAACCTCACAGTAGTTGCCTCCTAACGTGCGACAGCGTATCAGAGGGATCGCGCCCCGGGATCCAGACCGCGAGGGCGTGCCGGAGGACGCGTAATCGGGGGGCGATAAAGGGGGGGGGCAGCGATGGCTGCTTCAAAGGGACCCTTCGGGGCCCCCACTGGAGCACAAGCGGGCCCCCAAGGGGGGCCTTTCGTGCCCGAGGAGGGCAGCTCTCTTCCCCGTCGTTTATCGCCCCCCCCCATGACGTGTTGCCCATGTGATTTTTTGAATCGGCTGCCTCAGAGGTCCCGACCCCTTTCCCCAGAGCTTTTTGATCCCGGCTCCATCTTCGATGGCCCCCGGCCCGATCACGGGCCCCAGAGAGGCCGATTTCCAGAGACGACCGCCGGATTGAACAAACCAGATCCTCGGATCTCTGCCCAGAGATCCGATGCCGTGATTTGTTCAATGCGGGGTTCACGAAAGTCTCCGCCCATTCCCCAGGACCAGTTTTTCATCCCGGGCCGTTTTCTGACGGTCCCGGGGCCCGGCGAGGGCCCCTCGAGGCCGGCAAATATATGAAACCGCCGCCTTTGGATAAGAAGATCTACGAATAGAAGCGTATATACATATACAGTACAAAATATAAACAATGAAACACAACAATACAAACATATAAACATATAGAAATTGATATAGTGAGTTGGCTCTCTGGGTGCCTTCGCCTCCCGTGGTTCTCTACGCCTCCCCGGGCGCCCAGCTGCTCGTGTCGGGGCTCCCGGGCGACATCACCGCCGAGGAGCTCCAGGCGGCGCGGCGCCCGGCCCCTCGCGGCCTTCGAGGGCCAGGACGAGTGGCGGGGGCCATCTCCTCCTCCTCCTCCTCCTCCTCCTCCTTCTCCTCCTCCCCCCCCCTCCCCCGATCACGCCGGGTATCGCGAAGAGTCGAAGACAGGCTATATGACCTGACGGGAGCCTCGTGTGTCCTCGAGGTGCCATTCTCTGGCGCACATCTGCGCGCGCCAGTGTGTTTGGTGATCGACTCGAGAGCGCTGAAGCAGCGTCGATTAGCGCCGATTTAGTGTCGAGTGGCGTCGATGTATCGCCGATCAGCGCCGATTCGGCGTTGACTCACGCAGATTTAGCGTCGACTCGCATCGATTAGCGTTAGCGTTGTTTAGCGTCGACTCGCAAGAGACGGCAAGATTACATGGAAGGCTCCCATGAGACCCATGAGTTGCCACATCACCAGTCGGGACCACGGCTCGAACAACAAACATTGCATCAACGTTATTTCTGGAAGGTCCACGTGGTGTCCTGGTATGGCGGCGACTCGGGCGCCGCCCCCTGGTGCGCTCCTCGTGCCAGGGAGGGGTGTCCAGCGCAGATCCAAAACATCCACGCGGACCTCCGAGAAATTATGCTTCTGATGTTTTGTTGTTCCTCTAGCGGCTGCCCTGTTTGGCGCTGCTCCTCCTTGTGTTTGGGCCTCCCGGAGACTCATCGTCGCCACGGCGGGAGCGGCCGCGACAAACGGGCCAGGGTGGACCCTGGTCAGTTTCCAGGGATTGATGTGAGGGTGCTGAGACCTCGGACGTCTTGAAGGAACCAAGACAGCCTTTGGATCAGTCCGACTAACCAAGACAGCCTCTGGATCAGTCCAGGAACCTTGACGTCTTGAAGGAACCAAGGCAAGTCTTGAAGGACTGCTGATGCCGCTGCTCGTCCTGGAGAGCCCTCGCCGCCACGGCTGGATCCTCCAAGAAATCCTGGCCAGAACGCACCCCGGAAGGGGTCGGGCGAGTAGCGGAGGCCGTTTGCGGGCTCTGAGGCGATGAAACGCTTCTCTTCCCCAACCATCTTGTGGTGTTGGGCCCTTCTTTTGACGAGACAGCGCCCCGAGTTCCTCCTCTCCTCCCCCTCCCCCTCCTCCCTCCTCCCATCATCATCATCATCATCATCATCATCATCATCATCATCATCATCATCATCATCATCAGCATCATCATGATGATCATTATTATTATCATTATTATTATTATCATTATTATTACTATTACTATCATTATTATTATTAGTATTATTATTATTAATATTATTATTATTGATTTTATTATTAAGAATATCATTACTAGTATCATTATCATCAACATCACCATCATCATTATCATCATCATCATCATCATCATCATCATCATCATCATCATCATCATCATCATCATCATCATCATCAATATCATCATTCGCATGCGTCCCCCCCGCCCAGTAAAGCGCCTCGTGGCCCCATAGGGAGCTCCAGCGACGGTCCCAGTGGCGCAGTTCGCATGCGTCTCCCCTACCCACTACAGCGCCTCGTGGCCCCAGAGGGAGCTTCACCGAAGGTCCCAATGGCGCAGTTCGCATGCGTCTTCCCCGCCCAGTGCAATGTGTCGTGGCCCCAGAGGGAGCTCCACCGAAGGTCCCAGGGGTGCAGTTCGCATGCGTCTCCCACACCCAGTACAGCGTTTCGTGGCCCCATAGGGAGCTCCATCTAAGGTCCCAGTGGCGTAGTTCGACTGCGTCTCCCACACCCAGTACAGCGTTTCGCGGCCCCGTAGGGAGCTCCACCGAAGATCCCAATGGCGCAGTTCGCATGCCCCCCCCCCCCGGCCGAGTACAGCGTTTCGTGGCCCCATAGGTATCTACACCGAAGGTCCAAGTGGCGCAGTTCGCGTGCGTTCCCCCGCCAAGTACAGCGTTCCGTGGCCCCAGAGGGATCTCCACCGAAGGTCCCAATGGCGCAGTTCGCATGCGTCTCCCCCGCCCGGTACAATGTGTCGTGGCCCCAGAGGGAGCTCCACCGAAGGTCCCAATGGCGCAGTTCGCATGCGTCTCCCACACCCAGTACAGCGTTTCGTGGCCTCGGAGGGAGCTCCTCCAAAATCCCAGTGGCGCATTTTTTCGTATGCGTCTCTCCCACCCAGAACAATATTCCGTGGCCCCATAGGGAGCTCCATCTAAGGTCCTAGTGGCGCAGTTCGCATGCGTCTCCCCCGCCCAGTATGGCGTTCCGTGGCCCCAGAGGGATCTCCACCGAAGGTTCCAATGGCGCAGTTCGCATGCGTTCTTCCCGCCCAGTGCAGCGTTTCGCGGCCCTATAAGGGGGCTCCACCAAAGGTCCCAGGGGCGCAGTTCGCATGTGTTCCCCCCCCCCACCCAGTGCGCTTCCTGGCCCCAGATGGAGCTCCTCCGACGGCCCCAGTGGCGCAGTTCGCATGCGTTCCCCCCCACCCAGTACAACGTTTCGTGGCCCATACGGGGCTCCACGGAGGACGATACCAACAACTGCGGGACTCACCATTGCATGTGATTGGGTTTTTCGTCAGGCTAACTTTTTCCGCTGGCGGCGAGGCAGAACTGCTGTACTACGCAATCGGGCTAAACGGGGCTACCGAAGAGCGAATTGCCCAGCGTGCAAGAGGAGAGACCGAGACAGGCAGGGCGGCCGCGGTGGAGGAGGGAAGGGGGGGGCACTCAGAGGCGGAAGACTTCCATCCTGAGTGCGCTGGCGTGGCCAGCCTCGGCAGCGGGGGGTCCGTGGACGTAAAGGCCATGAAAAAGCAGTCCACGACTAGACAACGGTCCCCGTGAAGTGGTCGAGAGGTCTGAGGACACCGTGCCCAGGGGTCTGGACGTGGCACTCTCGAGCGCTTGCCTTTTGAGTAAGGGTGCCTGCGTTTTGAGGACAAGAGGAGGAGGAGGATGAGAAGTGAGACGTGAGCAACATGAGACGTGAGAACCATGAGACGTGAGAAGAGGGGCGGGGGAGAAGTATGAGGAGGAGGAGAACGAGGAGGAGGAGGAGGAGAACAAGGACGAGGGGGAGGAGGAGGAGGAGGAGGAAGAGGAGGAGAAGGAGGAGGAGGAGGAGGAGGAGGAGGAGGAGGAAAGGTGTCCATGAGGAGTGACGCTGCTGCTGCTGAGAAGGAGGAAGAGGAGGAGGGCGATGACAAAAACGACGACGATTATGATGGTGATGATGATGGTGATGATGATGATGATGATGATGCTGATGACGATGCTGATGCTGACGATGATGCTGACGTTGATGAAGATGATGGTGCTGATGATGCTGATACTGCTGATGATAATGATGATGAGGAGGAGTATGATGAGGATGCGGATGACGACGAGGATGATGATGCTGATTATAGTGATGATGCTGTTGATGACGATGAGTACGAATATGAGGATGGTGCGTGTGGCGACGATAAGGGTGATGCTGATGAGGATGATGATAATGGTGACTGTGATGGTGATGGTGAGGATGATGTTGACGATGACGATGGTGATGACGATGTCGATGCTGATGATGACGACGACGATGCTGATGATGATGATCATGATGATGATGATGGTGGTGATGCTGTTGTTGTCGATGATCCTGATGAGGATCATGCTGCTGATGATGCTGATACTGATGCTGATGATGATGCTGATGATGATGATGCTGATGGTGCGGTTGGTGATGATGGTGGTTCTGAAGATAATGATGATGCCGATGTTGATGCTGATTCTGATGCTGATGAGGACGATGATGCTGATGATGCTGATGATGCTGCTGCTGATGGTGATACGGATGATGATGCTGATGATGGTGATGATGCTGCTGATGATGATGATGATTATGATGATGCGTCTGATGATGCTGCTGATGATGATGACGCTGATGATGCTGGTCGTACCTGTAGTGATTATGAAACATTAGTAGTGCTGATGATGATGGTGATGTGATGATGATGATGATGATGATGATGATGATGATGATGAAGATGATGATGATGATAATGCTGCTGCTGATGATGCTGATGATCATGATGCTGATGATGCTGGTGCTGATGCTGATGCTAATGCTGATGATACTGCTGCTGCTGCTGATGATGATGATGATGATGATGATGCTGATGACGATGCCGATGCCGATGTTGATGATGATGATGATGATGATGATGATGATGATGATGATGATGATGATGATGATGATGATGATCATGACCAACAATACCCAGGCCCGCCCAGTGGGATTGGTGGGTCGAGCCCCTCGCTCGAAGCAGATATGGGTGAAAGCGGTATCTTCGAGTACCACGTCTACTATGGCGTCTACTGCAACGGACTCAATACCTGTTATTGTGACCGAATTCATGCCCGTCGTGGGAGATGCGACTGGGCACAACGATCCACTACGGGGAGGTGGCACTTCTTCCAATGGGGACAAGACAGCGGTTGGAGGCCAGTTATCCGACTTCTCGGCGGACGGGGGGTATCGTCAAGACTGTCTTGTATTACCAAGCCCTGCATTTCCGAATGTGGGCGAATGCGATCCAGATCTGTACTACTGGTTCCAAGTTTACCACTCCACGGCATGCGATGCAGTTTGTCCTCACCCTGATGACGACTGGATCTCGCTCGCCGTGCATGCAACCTCCATGCAAGCGGAGCTCTCCCGGCTGATGGCAAAGCTGATGGATGAGCTCGCGCTTTTCGACGGTGCGCCTGAGCACCGCCCAACGTGGCTGGACGACGACGAATACGTCGAACCAGCCCTGCTGCGCACGATCAGAAGCCTCGTGCGGAAGCTCGACTCTTACAGTTTCACCTTGGAAGAGCAAGTCCTCGACTTCGACTACTGGACGGTCGAGTGCGAGAGGGAAGCTGACTGGGTCCTCATCTCGGGCCCCAACACCAAACGATGCCCACAGTACTTTGACTACGGCATCCCGTTGCGGGCGGAGGCTTCCAAGCCTGACCTCGCGGCCCTTAGGGACTACCT